CGCTTTCACGTAGAGTGTGAAACAAATAAATGATAATGTAAATGTCGTTTGAAATTACTTTTCAAACAATCTGCACATATTAGCGCCATAGGAGTAATATACGAAGCTGAGATTCGCTCGCTCGCATCGCAGATTAGTTTATGTACACAATGCTCACAACAATATTTTGAACAATTTTGAATGTAACCAATTTTTGGATTTGGAACCGTGATGAGCTCGTGTTTGATTTCAGTTATCTTTATTTTCATTAGTTCTTGTGCTCAAAAGTAAAGTATGTTTGACAAAGTTATTGAATTTGAAAATTTTCAAACGCAGAAAAAGGAAAGAGGGAATGACGTTTAGGTGAATCAACGCGCTTGGATAAACAGGCATTCAAAATTACATACGCACATTTTGTATACGTAATCTCAGGAATCTCCGATGAATGTATCGAATGGCTTACAAATTAGATGGGTGGAGGGGAATTAGTAGCATACGGTGCCCATCTGCGGAGTAATAATAGCATAACGCATTTAATATGCTTAAGGCAGCCACGGCGACATTACACTAAGAAAACACTTACTGCGTTAGTTGATCTGTGCAATCTGAAGTCTGAATCTATTCAGACAAATTCTTCGAAAAAGAAGTCATAAAAATGATATTAGATTTCAAGTGAAGCGTTTTATACATGCCGCCCACTACTTCCTACTAATATATTGACTTTTTACCTGTCACAATGTGTAGAATGCATGATCGACTATCCGTGATATTTTATTATTTACACCTTATCCGTGCACTTTAATGCAGGCTAAAGCAATAAAGCGAACCTTTGCTCAAAAATGACAAGAGAAGGTATTGAAAAGTCGACTATTGCCGCCTATTTTCGAGCCTTTTACATTTCAATTCCATTTTCCAATGCGTTATGTTTTTATTTGTTTTCTTTTTTTCTCGAACATTTTATCCTACGAACACATCAAAGTCTATCTGAAGTCTGACGGTGTTCATCAGTGGCATTATCGTTGTAATGCGACAAAGCTCTTCTTTTGTGATGTGATGCAAGTGTTACTGATGAATCTTTGACAGCAGACAAAGCAAAAGGCAAAAAGAAACAACTTGTTTTAAAAAGCAAAATCCGTAAATTGGCTTCAAGTTTTTTTTTTTTTGCGGATCCTTTTACTTGAGTTGCTTTGCACAAGCAAGTATCTGATAAAAGATTGTCCTTTACACGTTTGCAGATATTTAATCGCATAAACCATACACACATGTTCGGTTTACAAAATCTGTCGTTGACTTATTTGCGTATTTGTTCAATTCCTACAAATGCAAGTTTGCTTTAGCTCTTTTAACTCTTTTCACTTACTGCGGCTGCTCTCTGCCAATGACAGATGAATTGAAAGCAATTTTCATAAATGCTTAACACACATGCTTAAAATCCTCCATTTTAGTGTAGGTGTGAAGAAGAATTCACTTTTTCTTTATTTGTTTGGTTTTCTTTTTTCGTAATGCACAGAGCCAACAGAGCCCGTGAATAGGTTTGACCATAAATATGTTAAACTAATTTTTCGTTTCTTAAAAAAAAATCGTTAATCCTTCAAAGCAATATTTGCTGTTCCAATGAACGCAAGGACATAGGAATTATTTATTATGATTAGCATAATAGTTTGAAGAGATATAAATAAATCGGTCCACCTTCCTATATATTTCTATAACTATCGGGATTGCATAATCTGCAGTCAACGGTGGTGGATAGGCGACGCCTTTAGAACACTTTGGAAATAATTGAATGGACATTGGTTTTTGGCGATTAGCAGTGCTTTCATACACGACCTTGCCAGTCAGAGCTACTTCCTGCTGAAATGATAGTAATTGTTTCGAGTAAATATTTGCTCTCTCTCTCTCTCTCTCTCTCTACGTTAAAGTAGGTACTAACTCACTGGAAACGAGACGTAAGTTCGATGATTAACTCGAAATACCATTTCCAAGCTAGAATAAGAGCGTACACGCAACCGTAGAAAAGACGGCTTTTAAATTCGGCTAATTCTAGTTTATTGAAAACTATCATCACATGGTTGCTGGAGAATCACACGAAAATTTACTTTCATTACTTTACCTTAAGCGCAGCAAATTTCTAGGCAAAGTGAGCGCCCAAATTGTTGTTGATGAGAAAAAGAAGAGAATAGTTAATGAGCTTCAATCGCTCTATTGGACAATTTGCTAATTGTAAATGAAATTTACTCTTCACTTGGGTCTACTATGAAATTCATTTTTCACACGGCGGTTACCTACCTAGGGGATGCCTGTTGCCTTAACAACACTTATTAGTACTTACTTTTCGTTCAAAAGCTTAACGTCCTTTTTCAAAGACTTTAAGGGACATATTGAAGACACAACTGATAAAGGTTTTTATAAAATAAATGAAACTTTTATTAACTTTTGTATCTAAAAATTTCGAGAAAATAACTTAATAATAATACGATGATATTTAGAAGAAAAGTAAGTGATAAGTGATTGATCTGGCAACTGATAGCTTAGTTGAATCAATTTTGCTTTATTTATTTCACTATCTATTTAAGTCTTTGGCAGACGAATTTGTTTGGTCAGCAAATTGCGAAAATTCCTTGACATGATTCTTAAGCATTTGTAGTAATATATTAAATATGTATATATATATATATATCTCCCGATTCATTTTTCATTCAAAATGAAAGAACCCGGCATTATCGATGTCATAGAAATCTTTTCGCATGCGGGACAGAGAGAGGTTACAATGAAGCTTATCTTTGTAGGCAGATGCGGACTTGCGATCTAATTTTTACTTATTATTGGAAACCCAAAGTTAAGAAGTCATGCTTTCAAGGCAAAAGGTTTTTGGGAAACAATTTTTGAATTACTTTCTTCCTTTACCTACAAATCGTACTCTCATGCTCTGTAATTTGATTACACGGCACCAAGTAAATTTTAGGAAATTATATCTAAACAAATACAAGAAATTTTGATTCTCAAGGAGAAATTCACTTCTGCTAACTAATCGCATTGATTCACAAAAATCGATAAAGGTAGATTCGTTCCTTGATGGGTTTTATTTAACCAAAGACTTAGACCTTTAATGCGCACATTGAGCTCTCCACAGATTCGGGGATTCTGAAAGCTGGACGACCCATACCTTGCAAAAAGGCTATATGCGAATTTGATGAGAGCAATATGCAAGTAATGCCTCTGTTGTGTGATGTAGATTTAATAGAATCTGTTCAAAAGCAACTCCTGATCTTTTGCCCTTAGAAATTTCGGGGGAATTTGGGTCCGCTTAAATCTTCGCTACCCTATGCAAATAATAAATCGCTTTTGTTAAAGATACAGATTCGTTCTTAAAGTATCTTTCTTAGTTAAGTTAATGATTGATACTATTGACCCGCCCGTGTTACTAGGCGAGATAGACTTCATTGTCCTTAAAAGGAACTTTATTTTCATAAAATTAAGCCAAGACATAACCACGAACCGTTTAGTCTCCTCCGGATCCTTTAAATATTATCAAGTGAATGTGCGTGCTTTGTCTCTATCGCATTCCCCATTATCGATTGCCAGGCATTTATATCTTTGCAATAGCTTAGCAGGGTACTCCCCACTTGGATCTATATTGGCTGAGGGTGTGCCACTGTGCTAGATGCCTTGTTTATCTATACATGAACTTTGTGTCATTTCTCTTTACATACTTTGTAATATTAATAACAATACTTAGCGTAGGATTTATTTCTAAAAGTCGATCGAATTTGCTGCTAAATAAAGACAACAATAAGTAAATAAGTAAAATAAACTTCCAAATGCATTTTAAAATGCTCCCAATATGTAAGTTACGAGGCAGTGAAAACAATGTGAAAGTGCGTAATAGAATAAAGATTGGGAATCTGCGTTTGAGCGGGTGTTTTTACTCCTTGGCTAAATGCGACGGTTTCTTAAGAAGACATTTCTCAGATTCACTTGGGCATATCGGCTGCTTGCTGACCCAACGCCATATTCATCGAAAATTGAAGCATTCACTTTCTTCTCCATTTATCGCAAGTGTTTGATTTCCCGTTAAGTAAGCAAATGAGAGTTTTATCATTTAAAAAAAAAAAACAAACGAATCTAATTGAAGTTTTTGATGACGTGGTTCGGAGCAAAATGCTTACTGGGCTACTGGGCAGCTATGAATTCTAAAACCACTTATCATATCGTTACCGCACTCATGCTTGTTATATATAAATTTTCGCCATATAATATTAATGAGCTCTGCATAGCATAACTACTGCTTATGTAAATTTTAATGCATTTTTTTTTTTGTTTGTTTTTTTGCTTTTTGTTTTATTTATTTATTTTTTCTTTACAACTTCATTATCATTTTTTAATTATCACACTAAGTTGACACTAATTAATAATTTGAATACGCATGTCGTATAAATTTCGTTAAGGTTTGTTTTCATATTTATGTGCATACAATGTGAAAAAATTTCTCCCCCCGTTTTATTTTATAATAGAAAGAAGGATTTTGTGAAAGTTCTTTCTCCCTTCTACATATACACATATATCGTACATTTTACGAAATGTTAATTATGTTTATTGTTGTTATTATTACTAAACAACAGTAAAGCTGCATAAACATAACTATGTACATAGATAAAAACGCAGATAAACACAATAACGTAACTAGAGATTTATGGGCATTTTTAATTGCCTAACAAATGTCAGCGCATCAATTAAGCTAGAAGAAGAGACGGTCTTACGTAGGTGGATGGGCGGTTTGCTTAACTATGAAATGAAATGAAAGTAAAGCATAATAAAAAGAAGTGTCACTGATTTTGTTTAGTTTTCTCACACAACAACTGACAAAGTCAACATTAAACAACAGACATCGTGTTAGTAATTTAAGAGCAGTAAACAGGAAGCATTCATGATTCATGCAACGAAATGATCAACCATCGAGAAATTACATATTGATATACGGCGTGTGATATTTAGTGAAAATATCTTTTGACTTCTTTTTTCAGATATTATTACGATAAAAATATTATGACCAAGGTTCATGGCAAACGTTATGCGTACAAGTTCGATTTTCAAGGTTTAGCAGCAGCCACTCAACCTGCTGCCAGCGATCCCACTTATAAATATCAAAGTGATTTATTTATGACACCATATCATCATAGCGCCAAGCTATCCTCTTTCATGAGTCCACACCATGGTATGACTTCATCATCAGGTAAGTCATTTAAATTATATATATTATGATTCGTAATCTTATTCTGATGAAGATGTATATATATATGTATATATATACACATATTTTTTATACGATTTATTTCTTAAAAGGAACACTTAAAAAATTAAGGAAAAGCAACATTTTCTTTGTTCTCCTAAGTACTGTTCAAATGAGTACTACGGTTCAACAACTTGAAGTAGCGCTAGAAGAAGTAGTCCAAAGCTTGATATTGAAATTCTGGGAATTTATTACTTCATCAAACTTACCATGACTTGTAATGACTCCATGGTTTGCCTAATTGTGTGACACGTAGCACCACCACGTGTTATTAAGATCAAAATTTTCCAATCCAGATCATAAACTCCATTCACCATTATCCGATCTCTTGTAGGGGGATTCCCCTTGAAGCAATGGCAACGACAATTTACATTATTCACAAATTAGTTGAAGTAAAATGTGGAAATGCGACTTACCTGAGAAGACGGTTTTCGCAGAACAGTACAATGTAAGGATATCTGGCGGCGTATATCGTTCCCTGATGAAATTGCAATTTTAGCTAAGCTCAATTAACAAAGGCAGGGCATATCATCCCTATTGAAAAAGAATATACTTTACGAGCTGCTACTTTATATTATTGACCTTGTAAGAAAAAGAAAGTCGGGTTTATTTCGCTTTTATATTTTAGCGCTATTTCAGGCATAATCAGGCCAATTTGAAGCAGTAACAATGTAGCGTTCTTCAATTTCTTTTAGCTTCGCATCTCAATCTCTGCAGTCTCTGAGAAATTCTAGAACTCATTTTGAATCAGAGCCGTTTCCGATTTTCATGAGTATTCGCCTGATAATGCAATAATAAGATTCATCTGACAAATTCAAGATAAATAGTTTCTTTTCCGGTTGTACATACCAGACTCTACAATCGATCTGTTATACACTATGCTAAATTTAGTTAAAAGAGTGTCATATGAACATTTAATAGGTTGGTTCCCATTTATTTCATTTGTCCAATGCGTAGGGTGACCACTAGCTTGGGAGACTTTGCAGAACCAAAGGCTTCTTTTGCGCTAAAGTTTTTTTTTTTTCGAAAGCTTACATAATCAACTGCTGTTCCATCTCTCTTGTTCTCTCTCACCCTTTCCCACTCTTTCCCTATATCTCTCTAACAACTGTACAATGTTATAAGTTCTTGTAACTTTTTATAGAGTTTTTTCAAGCATCGCGATTTTCACACCAGACCTTTCAATAAATAGATGCAAACTTTCTTCTTTTTCGTGGTCGCAAAATTCTTCCCGGCCATATGTGTATGAAATATTGAATAGGTTTCACTAATACCTATGCAAGAATATTCTTCAAACTCTCGATAATTGACACAAGGCTTTTTCTATATTGTACAATTCATGCTGGATTAAAGTTGATTTTAAATAGTCTTTTGCCTTCCGCAAGTTTATCTTTTCGCGAAATATGACCAAGGTTAAATTCTATAAACTGCAATAATTATTTACTTTGACAACTTTTAAGCTGAACTTAACCTATGTAATATTCAAATTTAGGTTAGCCCTCGTCGAAAGTAATACGACGTTGAATCAAGTTCAACTTGATAGCAAGAATTATATGTTCTCCATAAATCGTGAATGAACTTTATCAAAAGAAAGCGAGACAACCATATAACGCTATATAAGAAATTTTCCCATAGATATGATATGAGAAACTCGCGTCCGAAATAAAGATATGTCTTCAAATCTTGGAATAACTCTGCATTAACTATATTTAAGATAGGAAAAAGCTTCCTAGAAGATTTATATATACAAACACCGTGCAATAATTTTTTAAGCTTTCATATAATTGTGAGCTTGCAGTTTAGTTGACGCACTTATACATTTGAAAGTTATGCGTTCATGCTCCCTTGTTTATTTTGTTTTATAAGTAAGTCTGCATTTTCATCCACTAATGATCGATTTCAGGTTAAAAGAATTATAAAAGAAAAATAAAATTTTAATATCATTTTGTTTTATTTATTCCGCAGCATCCATTTTTCCATCGGCCGCTTCTTGGGGCAATTGGGGCAATCATGCCACAAATTTGTATCAGCCGCATTCAATGGGCCATGTGACACCCTCTCATGTGGCACCCCATCTTAGTTCCTATCCCCACTACGCATGACCATCATCGTCTGGTGGTGGTTTCTAATATGAGAGTAACGCTATCGCTGGTACAAGTGGGACACATCACGGCATGCATACAGCCGGTGTTGGCGGCGCGGGTGGCAGCAGTACAAGTGCTGCAGCAGCTGCCATTAATGTAGCCACCTTACATAACCTTAGTTCAGCCGTTAGTCCCAGCAGTAATATGTCATCCGGTCTTATTAATAATACTGCCAGTAGTCTTAATACTGGTCTGAATACCGGCGGCAGTCTAAGTCATAATAGTCTTAGCTTAAGCAATAATGGCAACAGCAGCGGTAGCAGTAATTCACTCATCAATGGCAACCACCTTAATTTAGCAACAGCTTCCTTGACGGCAACGCATTCACACGGGGTGGGAATGGGTGTGGGCGTTGGTGCGGGCAGCGGTTTCGGTAGTATTGGCGGCCTAGGTGTGGGAATGGGTGGCGGTAATTTAAATTCTTTAGTGGTTGGCAATCGCCTAATGAACACCGGCTTAACCACTATATTGAAATGATAACAAATGGCTGAGTACGGCTTTAATATGTATAATGCGACAGAAACCCCTACGCCACCTCTCTCTGTAGAATTTGAAACCAATTTGAATCCCTCCACCTGTAAACCATATTTTGGCTAAACTAAAAATGGTAAAGAACAACCATCTCAATAAGGTCAATTTCTATACATCTGTAGACCGAACAACTAAAGTAACCAGCTGTGTATTAAATCCAAATCCTAAATATAGCTAACAATCTTGCCTAAAAGTGCGTTTGCGTTTGAAATGATAAATGAAAAGTTGGTGAAATTTTATGGGCGCACATCCCCCAAAATAACACTTTATTTAATAATATTAAAGAAATTTTGAAAAACAGATATACTTGAACTTAATGTTTATTATCAAAGAAATTTATGAATGAATGTCAAATTCAATATTAACGCTAACGAATTTTTAAACGTTTTTTACAATAATATCGAAAAGAAGATAAACAAAAGTTATAGAGGAAGTCGAGAAAACACAATTTTAACCTTTTGAAAACGATTTGTATTTATTTTTCTAGTCCCAAATCGCACTTAGTTTAAATGACAAATACAACTCTGTATAATGCTATATTGAAAGAAAAAAAAAAATATACACCAATCTCTTTCTCTCTCTCTCTCTCTCTGTCTTTTCATATCCCTATTGCTTCCTCTCCCCCCCCTCTCTCTCTATCTCTCTCTCTCTCTTTCTCTCTCTTTCTCTCCCTTACTTTCTCCCTTTCTCTCTTCCCTGTTTGCGACCCTGTTTCTGTTCCTATCCAACTTTTACGCTAGTTCCCTTACATTTATATGTATATATATATACGTGTATATATATACAAAAAATAAAAAGAAATATATTTAGAAAGTATAGCAGAAGTGTCCAGGTCCACGCCCATAGTCAGGTAGCACCTTAGAAGTAATATTAATGTCAAGTTCTACCTATATGGATGACTTAGTACGGCGTGAGCTTGTTGACCAAGAATTTAAGTCTGGTTTCTCATTATCGGACGACGGGAAATAGAACTCATTTCCGCAACTTCTCTTAACTGTGGAAGAAGTCGGTTCTTAGCCCGTTGATAGAAAGCTGGTAGTGTTCATTTGCGAGCACGTAAAACTGGAAAAATGTTACCTTAAAATGATTTTGTACCGCTAAGAGTAGAAATTAATGTTTGTGATTATTAAAGCTTTGCTCGACCTCTGCTAACAACATGGTAGAGCAATCGGTTTTAGTTGACGTTGAAATAATTGAAAAGCCGTCGTTACGAGCTCGGGAACCGGAACTATAATAATCTCTAAATTATTTATTCTGGACAAATGCCGCCACTCTATAAATGTTGCAATTATATCGTCGTCGACACAATAACAGAAAACATATAAACCCATCTTGCAACTAAAGACTGGGTGTAATATTTGCTTTGATCGTTACTTTCATGACATTGACAAGCGTGATACCAGTGTGATATTCAAAATAGTCCCATTCAAAGTAGATATCCATTATGTAAGAATTTTTTAATTTTTCCAGTCCTTTTCGCTCACACAACAATTCGTTCATTACATAGAATAGACGTAGTATAGAATAGATATTGAAGGTTGCATCATTTGCACCTACATCCACAATTAGGAGAACAAAGTTGAATGTACTAAATATGAGTATCCACGTGTTGAATGCAAAGCAGTATGATCATCAGTAGAGAGTGCAAAATTTACGACTTTGTTATAAGGACCATGTAAGTTGTTATCATTCACAGTACGCGGTGGTAACGGTAGAGTCTGCATTGTTTTTGAATGCTTCACACCATCAGATCGATGTGCGAAAATGTTTACATTGAGACATCTAAGAGAATTCAAATCGCCGCGGACAGCCCACAGCGGCAGATACCTGTACGCCGCTTTCCAAAATTTTCGTGAAATAATTGTCTATCAACTATAAAATTTGTGAAATTTGTTCGTCCAACTTTCCTTTTTCTAAATTTTTTTCGCACTTTTTGTTCAATGATAGATTTCATCTTATATCCTCTTACTGCAATTCCATCCATGTATCCGTTTTTACCTAGGAAAGGGGCGTACCTGCACAGATTAATATTTCGAAGCCTCAATTTCATATGCTTAACTCGCACTGTTTGATATCCTGCTTTTGTCGTGTGCTTTCCCTATTTGGATTTGCAGTCTCTCCATTATCTTGTGATCGTGAGCGTACAAACTTTTTTTCCATATATTTCATTCCATATAACAGTTATACGAATATGTTGCGTATTTACTTCTTTTTTTTTTTTTTTTGTTTTTTTAGGGGAATAATGAGAAACCAATTTACTACTACTCAGTGTTCTGTTTTTCTGAAATATGTACGTATCCAAGTTTAGTAAGTAACAGTTATAAGTAAGCAATTCTTCAAAAGATAAAAAACTTAAAAGAAAAACAAAAAGGAAAAGAAAAAGTAAAGGAGAAAATTATAAAATGCGTTCGTTTTTCTCCCTTAAATTAATGTTAATTATTTTAAAATGATTTTATTTAGGATTTTTTACTTGTTTTATCTTAAACTGAAGGACTGTGATAGCGTTTGTACAGTTTATCTATATATAAATCATTGTAATTCTTAATAATTAAAGAAAAATAATAATAATAAAAATATGAATTCATCTAGATGTTAATAATTAATTAATTAATATATATGTATAATTAAAATTAAAATAAAACAAAGAGAAAACGAAACGAAAAAAAAAAAAATAAATAAATAAATAAATAAGAAAACCACTTAAAACTTATATTCGGGGAGGAATACGTGTTCGTCTTACGTGCGGAGAAGAGCAACTTTCGTTAGAGCAAATCCCAATTCACTCACTCACTATATATTGTATAATTAGAGATATGTATGTATGTGTGTCTAAATTGTTTAATATAATGTTTTTCACATAAATTAAAGAAAGAAAGAACAAACAAAAAAATGAATAATGATGATAACAAAATTGAAAACGAAGATTTTAATCTCAAAACGTGTAAATTAAAAAAAAAATTTTGATTATTAATGTAAAAAATTTCCAAAGCCCTCCTTTTCCCCCAATCATCCCACTCGTAGAAGATAAAAATTATAAACGAAAAATTGTCTAAATAAAAGATAAACAAAAAAAAAAAAAAAAAAACATTTGAAAAAATAAATAATTCGTTAATAAATTTTTTTTTTTTTTTAATATTTTTTTTTTTTATTATTAAATCCAATCAGTGAGCATCGATACTGGATTATACTGTTTTAAACCATATGAATTCGTAATCTTTAAGAGAATTCATTTTGGACTTTGCTTTTATAGTATTTGCATCCAATTTACGCCAACGTACGCGTGGCTGGAAGCCGTTTTCATCCGCTACGTATTCAATAGTGCGTTCAATATCGTCGTCACCGATGGCAAAATAATTGCCCACTTTATTGCCATTGCGCTTTCCCGTCTCCGTATGGCCATTATAATCCAGTATGTACGTGAAACGATATAAATCTCCGTCGCCCATCAGCATTTTGGCATTAGAAGGGAACGATGTAGCCTTTTTACCACCACTACCTATAGCATTTTTTCCATTCCCGCCGCCTCCTCCTCCTCCTCCTCCTTCTCCTCCTCGTCCGCCGCCAATATCGCCAATAGTTGGAGAACCTTTTCCTATTCAAATTCACATAAGCCATTACTCTGTAGAATATTGCAGAACAGTGAGAGAGAAGTTATGTACGTATGTTACCTTTTTGCGCAGTGTCTGTTGTTGTCTGAGCTTTACCGTTATTTCCCATAATAGCTGGCAGAACTTTTCCTATAATTATATCCATTAGAGGACCATTTCCAATTGCCGATGAAAGCGCCGGTTTTCCACTTGAACCTTGAGTTTTAAATCATTTATAAGATATTATGAAATTTCCATATACGTAAGATATATATGGGAAGGAGAACCGAAGAGGAATGAGTGATTCAAGAAAAAGAGCTATTTTCTGATTCAGTAAACAATAAGATACGCTATGTAAAACTATGCCTTACATAAAGTTCAGCGCAAAACCCCGATATCCTGCAAATGATAGTTGCGTGACATCGTGAACGAACCGATGTAAGTTTTCGAAGGACCAATTATATACGTCATATATAAAATATATCGTCTATCGTCTGCCTATCTTCCAACTTTGATAATCAGATATTATTTGAGTTGAATTCACGTACAAGTGAGAGCACACAAATCCGTGTACGGCAAAAAACCTTCAGGAAGCTTAACAAACGTGGCTCTAAAGAGGGCGGAGAGTGAAATTTATCGAAATTTTTCGACATTCTTGGTCTATTTTTGAAATAAACTTCTTTCGTGCGACAGTAAGATAGTAAGTATAATTGCTGGTTAGCGCCGGCTTCCTATTGCACTATGAGTTAAATATAAAAGTTGAGCGGAATTAATTAACAGCAAGGGATATTGAAAATGCATTTTTACGTTCGATTTATTATTTTAGTGTGGTATGAATAAGAAGCAGAAATATAGGACCAAACTCGATGCAGTTCCAAAAATTCGATTGTGAATATAAGGAAATTTATGTCGCTATTAGTACCGATCAATACAGATGGATTTTTTGAATCAATCCTAGGCAGTTGGCTACACTGTGAAAAAACCCACTTAATATTTTGATTCGGTTAAATATATACCTTTCATATGCAGCTTGATTGACACAAGGACTTTCACGCCAACGCTTATTATTGTCGGTTATCGTAAGGAATGCATTGGAGTTTTTTCGGAATTGAACTCGTGTGCATTGAATTCGTATGCGGCGTCATGTCTTGCCCTAAACTGAAATGTACATAAACAATGAGCGAAATAAACTTATTCTCTCCATCAATCGGAGAAATACTATTATGTGACCTATGCGCAAAGATTCTCCGACAAGAATTTCCTGTCAGCCAATGAATCAATAGTGAATCACTTTTATAGTAACATTCCTCCTCGTGTTCTCCCTTGCTTTTAATGAAACTAAATTACTTGCTATAATTTGTGAAGGGTTTGTGTTTTTGATTTCATTCGTGGATTCGTATTGTACTTTAAATGCGGTCGATGGTGATGGTGACGGTGTTTGTGTTTGTATATGCATAGCTGCGGGCAAAAGTGTAGTAACAGTAACATCGTGATTGCGAACCTGTGGTATATTTAATGTTGACGTTGTCTCTGTTTTGTGTGTAACCGGATTTATTTCATGTTTATTATAGGCCTCACTATGAGTGTAGATTTTTGCTGTTAATGTTGTTGGTGCTTGTGTCAGATGTAAATCTTGTTTTGTAATATTTTCATAGTGTTGATTGCCGTTAATTTCATATTTAAAATTCCTCATAAATTTTAGGGGTGTGTCAACCATTTCGTCTATCGAGTTTCTTTCAGTCGTGTATGCATTCAACATATATTCAGATGGCATCATTTCACTGGATGCTGAATTCAAATCACTAATCGTTTGGAATATATTCGATTGCTCGAACGTTTGCTCTGTGAAATTCGTTGCAATTGATGTATTATTATGTACTTTATTGTTGCGTTCGAATACATGAGGCGCCAGTGTTGTAATATGATGTCTTTCATTAAAATCAACTCTTGCTTGCGAGGATGTTGTAATAACGGGCTGCACAGGCTGTATAAAGCTATTGCCTAATGTTGTCGATGACGCATCTATGTTTGGCGGTAAAAGTGTTGATATATTTAGATTATCAGCAGTGGTTTCAATTAAGATCGTTTCCTTTTTCGTTGTTGGTGGTGGACTATTTTCAGATATTAATTTTGGAAAATTTTTATTAAAATTCTTTCCATGGAAATCCTTAGATTTTTCCAATTTTTCCGTTATCATTTCAAAAGCTACACTTGAAGCCTCATCTTCTTCTTGCCTTTGTTCGTTTGTCATCATGCGAATCATCATTTGTCGTTGTGGATTTGTTGTAAACGTATTTGACTTTTGTGTTTTTAGTGTTTCTTGTGTCAAGTGTGAATCGAAATTGTATTTAGTATTGTTACTGGTCTTACGGAACTCATTGATTTCTCCAGATAAATTGTGATTACTTGATATGTTACCTGTTTTTGAAATTGCACCGCCACCAGCACGACTGGGCGAAGCGCCAGCGCTATGAGGCGGTTGCAGTGGATTCTTGGATAATGATTTTGTTTGCGCTTGCGGAGCAGTTTGCGGTTTCACATCCAAACCCTTCGGTTTTCCATTACCATTCGGTACAAAGCAACCACCGCAAGCATCGAGGCCATGATTAAATTTCGGTAATTCTGGTTTCTTTGTTGTTGTTGTGGTAGTTGGTTTAGGCTTTGGCTGCACTATCATTTCAACGGTTTCTAACATTTTTTTTAACTTTCATATATTAATGTCTTTGAGTATAAGAGGATAAAAGTCTTACTTGGCGGCGACTCGTAAGGGTAACTTTTCATAGCCAATATACGAAATTTGCCTTCTTCATCGGTAGCGTAAACGGTCACATGGTAAATACCGTCAGCCGTGATAAAGCCAAACTCTCCCATCACAATACCACGTTCGTCTAAAAAAGTTTTTCAAGGAAATAAATTAATAGCCGTAAACAGATCATTAAATAAAGTTATTTCATCAACATTAATTATTTTACTTAATACACTTCATTCTTATTTAATTATCACTTTATACATCTATTTATATTTTATTATTAATAAAAATCAAATCAAATTAAATAAGGGACAAAGTAAGTAAATATATTATTAGTTGCTTGCATGTATTTTGATGATTTTTTCATTTGAAAACAGCATTTGTTGAGATAAAATTGACACAATGTACTTGTATCAGTCAAAGTGTTTTCCATCATTTTCTAATACAATTTCCCAACTTTCTGGCAATATGGCAATACGGTGTCAGAAAAACGATATTGGTTTGGCAGCCAACCAATCATCGAGCCATTTTCGCACTTTCCCAGCATTTCGAAGCCGCGTGCATCGATCTGAACAAATGGTAATCCGACGACGCTATATCTAATACCTATGCTGGGTTGCGACAGAGGTACACTTACGCAACTGCAGCAGCGTATCCTTGACAACTCTTGCAACGTGCGGCCGAGCGTTGTCATGCAAGGGGACGACTTTGCGTCTGCTAACCGCAATTGCTGGTCTTCTTTGTAATAATACCTCGTGCAATTTGTTGAATTGCCGTCGGTACTGCATATATGCAGTGACAGTTTCATTCGGTTTTAGCACTTCGTAATTCACTACACGTTGCCGATCCCACTATATGGACAGTAAACTTTTGTGGTCATGAATATCCCGATTCGGTGTCGATATGGGTGACTCTTCGAGACAAACCCATGACTTTTTGCGATTTTGGGATTTTCATCGCCAGTCACAATACGCCACAAGAAACTCGTCTTTTTTCGCGTGACAAGCAATGAAACCACGATATTGAAACGGTTCGAAATGGGATTTTCAATCAATTCCATGGTAGCCATTTTCCCTCCTTTCGTATCTTTTCCATCGGATGGAAACGTCTAGAAAGAATTGATTCGTCAACTACTAAGCCGCTTGAAAGTTTGAGCTGAGTTTTCGTCCAATAAGTTTCGCAGTTCATTGTCGTCGAACTTTTTTTGTCCGGCACCACACGCACTTTTAAACACTGAAAATCAAATTCGACAATTGGCATGCGATGGAGCGGCATCACCATAAACTTCTTAAAGTGTTTGATCGACTTCGGCCGCAAATTTCTTCAAATCAAACAACAAAAGTTATGAACGTCGAAGATAAAATTTTGAGCGTTCCATGAATAACTCAATAATACTAAATGGAAAGCCGTTATTTTATGTAGAGAAAAGGCAAAGTCGTCCAATATGACCGTTGTGTACATTGATAATTCGCATTATCAGATATCGCTGATCGAAATACATGGAAGCAACCATTAGCTTTTATTTTGTTATTTACAAAGCTAACAACGCTTGTGCAATGAAAAGTCAAAGGAAAATTTCTCGAACATAGCGAGTAACACTGGCAAGTTGAAGGGTATGGCTCATAACATCGCCAGATATTTCTTGAAAAGATTCAGAAGCATTCGATAAATCTTCAGATCATTTATACTCGTTTTTTTTAGTAGTTTCAGAGATGAAAGAACAGTAAACTCATATGATGCTATTAATATCCCACGGGAGGCTTCTAATTCAACCCCATGCTATAATAGGTGCTTACATCAGTTGAATTTGAGTTTTGCCTAAATTTGGTGCGCGAAATGGTTGATAATGCGAGGAAAAGGAAGTCCGTTATATAAACCATGGACATACGAATTATATAAGCAACTACACGTAAGGGTGAAGTGATTTCTTTGGTCGTTATGCAATTAAGACAACTTAAAGTGGCAAAGTAGGCATTTGCGCTTCCAATATATGGCTGGATGTGCTAATAAGCGTCCGGGATTAATTCGTGACTCCTTGCTCGAAGTTTTCTGCCTGAAAAATGGGACAGCTTGTGCTTCCGTGTGTTCCGAACAGATTCTAGTTTTTTACTCATGTATAAAAACACGTAGCTATAAACTCGTCAAGAATATCGTATGAATTTTTACTTGCTTTTAAAGCACAAATAATCAACTGTACGAAGAACATTTCGTTTCCTCCACATGATTAAGCGGGAAGTTAGTTTCCTGCCGCCTAAACATTCCTGGTACTTTTTTTGACAGAATATATATCATGGCACGCTACTACATTAAAATATAACTTTCGAACCTTGAAAAATCGTTGGATATACAGTATGAATAATGACATTTATACCTATACGAATATATATATATATATATATATATATATATATGTACACACATGCCTATATATTTTTGATTAATAACAAATACCTTCTGCTATTTTCATGTAAATCTTTTCTTTTGTTATTAATAACGACAACAATCAATGAATCGATTCCGATACGATAGTTAATTTATATGGAAATCGCTTAGCGATAAACAAGTGTTTAATTGTATTTATGTTTGGCTTTATTGTGTGCGCATTAAGTAAGTTTATAAAATGCTTTTATGTATTAATCTTCAGACTTTTCACAAAGATTTGCAGATAGACGCGACTCAATGAATAATTGATCAATAAAAACGGAGTTAATAGTTACGTGTAACAGTGCAACCATTGACATTAAACGATTATATTCGACAATATATCTTTACGCAATTGCCGATGACGACACTGCAGTTAAAGAGGGAAAAAAATGTTTATATAGAGAGGCGTTTTTTTTTTTTTTCTTTTTCTCAATTTTTTTTTTTTTTTTTTCGGTTTAACAAAAAACAAGTTTACTGACCTAATGTCTGAGAGAACGCTTGTGACCTGCATTGTGTTAATGGCCTTTGTGCCGAAGGCGGTCACTCTTTTAAGCTATAGTTATATGCTCGTATATATGAATGAGAAAAAAAAATGACATCAAGAAACTAAGCTAAGCGTCACAACTTTTGGTGATAATTACAACACAAGCAAACATTCACTTATGTAGCTGTCGAACAAGTGTTTATTTTAGGCATAGCAAGAAACTTTTGAATAGAAATTGAATGAATAATTTGACAGTGATGAGTACAACGCTCGAATGTGTGCGTAAGCTGCGAAATATCCGAATTCGAATTTTCTCATCATTTATTGTCAATTAGGCGTAAATGTTAAATATTTCGATATTGGGGTTTTTTCTTAAATTTCTGACATGAGTTTGAATACAGATTTTAGAAAATAAGGCATTACTTGGACGAATACGTTTAAATACTTGCCGCGTTTTTCATATCGATGTTGTTGCTGATCTATTGTAAATCCGAATTGATAAGGACGCACTGTACTGCTCTGGGCCTTGACGACTTCGCTCGTATAGCTTAGTACTGTAAAAACCTTTAAATAATATTTGGAGATTATCGCGATGCGTGGCCGTGATCTTCAGAGCTACATTCACTTACAATACTAAACCAATAATGGATGAATCGCCGCATTTTCCTTAGCACTTGTCTTTAATTTTTTTTTATTTCTTTTTTTTTTGTTTTCTGTCAAAAATCACAAAAAAAGGATAATTTGTATCGTTTATTGTGCGTTGCCTGCTGTGATGCGTCGATCCGCAAAGCTTGTCAGCACAAACTTTATCTGCGCTGTTACTTTCCTACAATTTTCTTTTGATAATTTTTAAAATTTTATAATTTAATTACAATTATAACTATTATTGATTAGTTTTTATGTTTTTTTGCCCGCGAGCTGGCTTCTACTTCTATGAAACACACCTAGCGACGTTCTCTACCGTATTGACTGGATTCATAATATTAGGTAAACATTATAAAACATTAGAATCATTTAAAAAAAAAAATAAAAAAAAACGAAAAAATGAAAAAAGCAGATGCTCTATGTGTACTAACAGCACTCATGTCTTTACAAAAACTCATGTACACAAATACATACGTGTGTATTTGTACACGGGTGCTCTAACATTCTACTATGCGCAGACCATTTATTTTGCTTTGCACAAAACTATGATCACATGCATAATCGCATCTCAAATGCAATGAATGGCACGAGTGTACTAATGTCTCCAAACGGTTCCTTGTAAAAAATAACAGTCGTCGCATCGAAACACACTACGACCGCATTAAACACTAGCGAAAAAAAGGTATAAAAAAAAAAATAAATAGATTTTCAAGAAATTAGAAAAAAAATTTTTTTTTTTTTTTGCGTTTTTTTTTTTATCTTTATTCATTATTTACTGCTTATGGCTTACAGTTTCTTCTCTTCGACGAAATTTGCATCTAAGCATACTATCGTACGACTATGATGCTAGTTTAACAGTAAATCTATTTAAAATAAAATTTACTTAAGAGAGTCAATCATATGAAAAGTATTTAAATTTTAAAGCTTGTAACGACACAAAAACTAAGTAAATAAATAAATGATTCAATACTTTGATCCCTTCTCCTTGGCAGAAAGTGCATAAACGCAACTGCATGTAACGTTATGTGTACAATTTGAAAGAATCCTCATCGAACAACTCCAGTAATCATCCTTTCCTGAACCTCGATTCATAAACGTCATGGAAAATTCGTTTTTTATGATAAACGAGCGCCAGACCCTTTACTTTATTTTTACCCAAGTTAGATAAGAGAACTAAGTACGAATATTATATTCCCCGGGTTAAATATCTTCTACTTTCAGCTTTCAGACAGTTGGTCGCAAAAATTGAACCTTGAATATCCCAAAATTTAGATATTTACATTGTCCATCCGTCCATATCCAGATGAACACATCTCGTGAATTATTCACATTGTATTCATATTATCCTTGCTAATGGGCCCAACGTTGTTTTGATGCAGAAAACAGTTGAAAGCAGTTATGCAAGTAGAATTCTATCGTTACGATTACACAATATTATCTGGAAGATTGTTTTTCATAACAACGTTCAACTCCGTTCGCATTGTTATCACCAAGAATGTTATGAATGGTGTTCTTAGCCAAGTCCTGAATTGAACCTGAAGCCGAAATCGGAAATGGAATAAGGTTTCGCCTTGCCGATTAAGTTTGCTTGTGACACGGCAATCTCTACCTATCGGAACCGTAACATATCTTGTACATAATTTGCTGCGATTCACTTTCGACGAAAGGTGCGATGACAATAAAGCTCGAACAGATAGAATCGCATTTTGTGTTTACTTTACTTTACCATTGTTGCGTCGCAGCGTTGGGCGTTCTAAATTTTATGTGACTAATTGTTGTTGTAAGTCCATGAAGGTTTGTATTTTGTGTTAACTAAAAAGTGAAAATGCCTCGAACCCGTGTAAATTTCTTAAATTCTTTTTTTCTATCTATGGTTACTTAACTCTGACATGTCGTAAATACGCATCCTGGAAGCTCTTATCCTAAAACAAAGAAAAAATGTAAAAGAACTAAATATTCATGCTCTGTGATCTGGAGGGGGCGCGACTGATTTTTTGTATTTTCAAAATAAAAGTTTCTTTCGCTTGTGGGCGTGTGGGCGCTGTAGGTGTATCCTTTGAAGGTTTTGTAGGCAGTATCTTCATTTTCACTAATGAGAGGACATTCAGCGCCTGGGCAGGCTTAGGTGCATTCCAAACTTGAAACTGGCCAAGAATTTATATACTTTATAGGGTTTTTGAAGCTGGTTTTTGCGGTATGGAAAAAAATCTACTTTTGATACACTATAACATTGGGTAGGCGTGGTCAATTTTTTCTATTGTTGTGCATATGGTACAGCATCGCTTACAGAATATGCGCTCAAATTTTTGTACATTTATACATGCTGTAGTTGGAGAGCAATGAGCAAAGAATCAATTTTTCATTCCTTTTGAAAGACAAGGGTGTTCTCAGTTTACGTAGTGCTGTGGCCATGTCTTTCGACCGATTTGGTCCATTTTCAATACCAACCTGCGTGCAAGAATTTCCAATGTATCTACGAAATTCTGTCGATAGCTTCACTTTCACGGCCACAAGAATCTTTATAACAGACATTACACAAACGGACAGACGGACAGATGAGCAGAGGGATATACTTAAATCGATTGAGTATTTGATGCTGATGCAGCATACATATACTATGTGAAGCTTCCTGCTGGTTGTTACAAATCCCAGCTCCGCCGGTCATGGGTATAAAAATATGTGCTATAAGACTTGTGTGACGCGATGAACAATTGACGAAGCTAATCGTTCGGAGAACGGAATCTCAATGGAAGATGAAAACGAACTCTTAAACCCCACTTAGACGAACTTTGGGAGTGAAGTTGGATCACATGGTTCAAAAACGTCACATTTTTTTCCTTAAAAAGATCGCAAACATCTTAGAAGTGCTTCTGCTTTATCGGAGTTACAGGCTGAGCCTTTAGCATTTCTTTTTAAAGTATGGAATCTAATACAGAAACTCGGGGCTTGAGAACGAATTGTCTTTTTACACTTGCGATAAAAAACATTTTTTTTTTTTTGTTTTCTTTGTTTTTCCTCTTCTTTGTAGAACAGTAGTGTTATTAGAACAAAACCGACTGAAGCGTATCGAAATTTCTATCTTTAAAAATTATATCATCCTTTATCCTTAATTTTGTTTTCCAAATGTGAAACTTTATTTGAATGCACACTATTACGTATTAAGAGCGCAGCTATGTATAAGAGAGTGTTATTTGAATGTTTCACTTGCCAAATCGATTAACTGCACTTTTTAATTCTTTTAAATATATTCAAAACAACTTTCTCTGATGATAAGCATTACGAACACTAAATGGCAACACTTCTTTGAAATTGGTTATTGCAGAAACCCATTTCGAGCTCTAATGTAAATCGTGTTAAAAATGAATTCATAGCAAAGTAATTAACATTCGTTTTCCATTGCTTTTAAATGCACAGCCTATGAATATGTAAACGAATAGTTTCATCAATTTTGGTTTTATGGAATTAATTCATTTGGTAAATGAATCATTCATCTTAAGAAATTTGACTGTAATAATAACGGAACTATGTTGATTGAAGGGCGAGTAGTGCGTGTGCAGCGCAACCACTTAAACAGCAGTAATCTTGAAACAAAGTAAGCTTTTATTAATTTTTACATCAAAAAAACATTCGAGAATAAGTGCTATGGGGTAACGGATAATGGGTGTGGCAACTCGGTGTTGAATTCGCCCTATGCGATTATCACCAATTTTAAATAAAGTGGAGTTTTAAGCATTGAATATATACCAAAAAAACTTTATTGACGGGCAGTCACTATGTTTTCTATTTGGCACTTGGCAAAGTGCTGCGAGCTTATTCATCGGTTGTGATCGGGAATTTTTTGAAACTGGGGGAAGTTTTTGATCGTTTTTTGAAACAAAATTAAAATCCAGGGGATAAGTTGACTTCCAATCTTTTATAATGAGAATTGTTCATGCTTAAGTTAAACTCGAAAAGAATTTGCAAAACTGTTCGGGATTCAAGAAGCAAGCATTCACGAGCGTTCCGATGGTTATGCGTATGCTTAAAAAGCAAAGAATTCGGATGTCGTACGAAATAAGATGAATCTGCAGCATGCCAATAATAGCCATATATTATAAAGCACTCGAAAGAACAATTGCAAGCATTGAACTGGGATATTCTACATTCACAAAAAATGTAATTTGTAATCAGTCAGAATACCGCTTTCTCTTTTTATATACTCCGCTTGGGAATCGGAGTAGATAAGAATCGCTTATATTGAGTGAATGGACGCGGATTCAGATTTCAAGTACGGCAAAATTTATTTTGGTGTGTGTTCAGCAACTAGGTTACGACCACTGTTTTTCTCTTTGCTCGCTTCTCTACGACCTCTTGACTGTTCAATATGCAAAAATATGTGTTGCCGACATGTAATAATTAACTTTACACTAAACTTTGGTAAGCTTAGATTAGAGCAATTTTCTCTTTTCTTCTTTTCTACTATAAAATCACATGAAATTATTTCACATCGCTCAATAAGTCTCCAATCTCCCCACATGATATCTACATGGCACCAACCTTCGGATGATAGGTGTCAAGATTTCATGACATTTCGAACATTAGCCTACCAGCTAGAGTTGCTTTACTGACACCACCTCTTCGGTCGCTTTAGAAAGCTTTCGCCAATTGCTGTCCACTTGACTGACGGCCGATTCAGAGAGTCTTTGCCTCATATCTCATGCAAAAATCATTTCCTTTTTTTTCGTCTGAACAGCGCCAAACAGCGTTCTTCGTCATCCACATGTTGTTGGCGACGGTGAACAAACACGGCACTCACTTCGAATAGAGCTTTCGCATGGAAAAGTGTCCATGCAAAACAGTAAATATACTCTGTCTGTATACTACTGTACTGTATACAATATCTTTAAAGTATCAGCTATGTCACTTAAATTCAGTTTACGGTCTTCCAAAACAACTGCCGAATTCGGTCGATCAGCGCGTGCAACACTTTTTGTGTCCACTGTGCGCAACTACGTCTAAAATTAGCAAACGCATTACAAATTTGTTCGTTCAACAGGCAAGAATCATTTTTTGAAAATCTCCCAAGCCAAAGCAGAAAGGGATTTTACACCCGACAGCAACATTCAACCAAACGGACGAATTTTGAAAATTACAAAATTGCAAAATCCCTAAACTAATGGTCGGAATGTCGTCAAGTTTTGACACATTTCGTGCAAAAACTGGTACTATTCAGAACTTATATGGCTCTGTTAAGAGCGGCGCCATAGACACGTGTGTTGGAAAGTGGACTTATCGAGTGATGCGTTAATTAGTTATAATATATAAGTAAATACTCT